CTATTTGGTTTGTACCATATGTCTGTTTTGTCTGTGTATCTCCTTTTGTCTCCAACGTGTAATATGATTCCATATTGACTTAAAAAAAAACTCCCTTTGCACAGTGCTGCCTTTCTAAGCTGAGATGGGAGAGCAAAAGGCTTATGGAGGAGCACAGCTCATGGGGGAACCGGAGGGGACAAGTATGGGGGCAAGGGAAGCATCCAATCATGAAGAACTGTGCAATCCCCAGCCCTCGTTCTCAGGACTATTGTGTCCAGAGTTCCTGCTGGTCAAGCTAAAGGTAGAGTCAGGCAGGAGGCTGCTCAACAAGGACAAAAGTCTGGCATGAGGAATGTACTGGAAAACCACTGTCTGCTGAAAACAGCAGTCAGATGTCATGGCCGGATTAGCAAGATCGGCTCCAACACCTTCCTTGTAAGGAATAGCAGAAAGTTAGATATGAACAGGGAATAGAGCGAATGCTTTGACTGGTGGGAACTATGGAGCTCACCAAGCAACAGCTCCTGGTCTCTCCACCCCAGCTTGCACCAGATGATAACACACCCCCCTAATGTATCCCCGCACATGTATATTCCTCTATGTACTTGTCAACCTTCTCTGAACCCTATTCTTATAAATATGAGGCCACCCATGGATCAGGGTGGCCCATCATTTCCAGGGTAGCCCCTCTAGGCTTCTCATTGCTCCATGTGGACTTTGAGTCACCTTTCCTATGTCCTGCACCCCTTCCAATGCTGCTCCCCGCAAAGAACTGTTCAAGTCTCAGGTCAAAGGGGCATCCAGATTAAACACTGCCCCATGTTGGGTGCAAATGGCTGGGGCCTTTGAAGACAGCCTTGCTCACATGCTTGCTGCAATCCACGCAGGAAAACAAGCCCGACACTACCCCTGCCTTGCCCAGTCATCACCCTTCGGCAAGCAGGTCTCCCAGCTTGTAAGAGGCAGAATCTTGTAAGTAATTTTAACAGCTGGAGGCTGTCAGCTTCCTTCTCCCAATTACCTTCATATATCTCCATGAATTTTAGTTACCTTTTGTTTAAAAACAAAACCATTAATAAAATAGATATTTCAGTAACAATAAGGAATCTTTCATTTTCTTAGAACAGTTCATCCATGTTCATTCCTACATTCCTTTGAAAAACCACCTTTCTCTTCATTTCTTTAAAATGCAACTATTTTAGATTAATACGAACAAGGAAGAGAGAAAAACTGAGAAAAAGAAACCTAGCACTCAAGAGAATTCATGCATTTAAGATCATTTCAGCAGTAGATTGCTTTTAATTGTACAAAAAATGTGAAACTATTTTTAAGATTAATTACATTAGTCAGTAGGAAGGAAAACGGGACCCGCGCTGACATGTGCATGAGTGATGGTTGTAATAGAGTTTTCAATTTCTCACGTTGGGAATGCCATCTGAAACTGGCATGATCTTTTCAAATAGATTCTGAAGCAGAACAATATCCTGTAAGGTGAGCATGTTGGTTACAATGACTCTTGCTGTTTCCTATGAATGGGTGATACTATTCTCTATAACACTAGCCCTTGGAAATTAAATGTCTTTCATTGAAATCATACCAGCCTGTCACTTTATTTTTATTATTAGGAACACTGCTGATCAAATGAAATGTCCTCCCAACCACAATTATGCCACTAAACTAATAGAGAGATGCTACAGTTAATATCTGACAAAGTAGCACAATAACTACTAAAAAAAAAAAATCATTTACTTGTAAGGGACTGAGAAAAATACCATGTTTTGGACATCTCGATATTCAAAAATGTCTTAAAACAAAGAATTAGAATAAATGAGAATCTCTGTGGGGATAAATATCACACAGTGGACTTCAAAGGAAAATTCCTTGCTGTGAGTCACCATCAGATGCAAAGAACTATTGAAAACATCCTAGTTAGGGAAAATTACAGAATAGAAGATATGGTAATAGAGCGTGCCAACACAAGATAGGATTTGAAAGAGGCTTGGAGAGCTAATATTTTTATGTAAATAGAAGTCCGAGAATTGAAGAGCACTTATGTCTAGACACCAAGCAAGCCACTTAGTAAATGATGAGAGTAGTTACTATTTTTCATTGCTCAATTTGTATGTATGTGTGCCAAAATTTCACTGTACAAATTATTTGAACACTTAGATGCTTGGTAGTCTGCCTTTGTTATCTGATAGGGCAAACCGTCCTTTGAGATTGTCATGTTTCCATATGAAATTTGAAATTCATTTTTAAATTTAAAAAAAGGCTTATAATTTAATTTAGATTTCACTGAACTTACAGAAAAGATGGGGGCATTCTTAGTAACTCTCGGTGACTGATTTGTATTAACAGCACTTCTAAAATAGCATAAAAAAGAAAGGATCAAAGAGAATGGTGAGATTATCAGTAAAAGACAATGCAAACAAAGTTAGAGTGCAATAAATTTTTAAGTGAAGGGACAGTAAAAGGGTCAAAAACTCCAGAGAAAACAAGGAAAATTAAAGAGAAAATGCTTCTGGGTTTCAACAAAAACAAATTTCTGGGTTTCAAGGTATTACTTCAGTGTTGGCTGGGAATTCTGGCCAGATTTCAGTGACTAAGAAGGAACTATTTGGGTAGGAGGCACCATGATGAGTGCAAGGTAGAGGACACGGAGTTGGAATGTCTATGTACTTCTTAGACCAGGCCCTTAAACTACAACGTAGCTTTAATCTTCTCCATAGCCTATAATAATAGTTATTATTTCCATTTTACAGTTGAGAAAACTGAGGCTAAGAGAATGGAAATTCCTGAAGATTTTGAAGTTCATATGGGACACAACAGATTTAAACCCGGATTGATTGACTACCCAACAGAGAGGACCATCAAATCAAATATAAATAAGGTTTATTTTTATCATGGAGCTGACTGTCTACTTGGATTTTCCAAGGATAAGATTTCAGAAAAAAGTAATGACACTTCCAAGAAATCAAGTTTATTGTGATAAAAATGCTAATCTAAACAGTAAAAGATTAGAATTTGTGGCAGGTGATAGAGAACAGAGAAAGTCTATTCTCATTTCCAAGACTTTTGGTGTCTACTCAGTACATATTGCTCTTTTAGTATCTGTACAATCTTAGAAAAATTACCAACATTGTCTTTATCCCCATCTATGTAAACTTAGTGATTATGATGATTAAAGAAATTAATATGTAGAAGCATTTAGAACAGTGCTTAGCACAAAGGCATATATTGGCTATTGCTAGAATAGAACCCCAGTAAGGAGATACCATAAAATATGATTTGCATTTTTGCAATGATATTACAGTGAAGCTACTTTAGGAATATGTTCAAAGGCACAATTCCTAATTATTTTGTCATAGATGAGCAAATCAGAGAACAGAAGAGTCATGGTATCTACCAGGCTGGATTTAAATAAGAAACACATTTAAACTTCTAAGTATATTATAATCTACAAAAGCATTCTAACCAAAAAATGACAGTTTCAAACCCTACTTTTTTCTTCAATGCTTCTTTGGCTTTTGTGCAAACCTGAGCTAGCACTATTTTCCTTTGACATTTATCAAAAATTGCCTTATATAACTTAGCTGTGACTGTGTCACAAATGACCCACAAACCTAGCAGCAGTGAACACATGTTTATTATTCACTGGGTCAGGAATCAGGGAGAAGCTCTGCCCAGTCATCTGACTCTGGATTTTTCACAGCTAGAAGTTCTAGATTTAGCAGATTAGATAAAGGAAGCCCAATTAAGTTTTTATTTCAGACATACAATGAATAATTTTAGTGCCTGTTCCATATACTGTACGCTGACACACACAGCTATTTATGTGAAGATTTAACTGAGCGTCCCTGTATGTGGCAACCCTACATGGCTTCAACCATTGACAGTCAACGGGGAAGGCTCTGGTCTCTAGATCATTCGCAAGCTTGTGAGTAGAATTTAATTCCTAGCGGAGAGCTGGACAGGGGCTCAATTCCTCAAGAGCTGTTGGTGGAAGGTCTCTCAATTCCTTGCCATGTGGACCTGCCCCCAGAGTATCTCACAACAAAGAAGCTGAATTTTATCACAGCAAGCAAGCAAGAGATTCAAGAATGTTCCAGGGAGAGAACAGCAACAAAACAAAGTTCAGTCTTTTGCTACCTAATCACGGGAGTGGTGCCCTATCATTTGTGCCGTACTCCTAGTGACTGAAAGCAATGAACTAGGTCCACACCACACCTGCTGGAAGCTGGTTACATGGGATATGAACAGCAGGAGGTAGGAGTCCCTGGGGCCACTGATTCTTGAACTCTCAATCCTCTCACTTTCTTGGTCTACACATGCACACACGTGCACACACACACACACACACACACTCAAAAACGCAACTTTAACTAGATTTTTACTCCCATTAATACTTTATGAAAATCACCAATGCTCTCCATGTGGCTAAATCCAAAGGTCAAATCTCAGTTCTCATCTTTTGGGGAACTGCCAGCAATGTTTGAAGTAAAACATTCATCGTTCATTCTAAATACAATTTTTCACATGACTTCCACAACATCACATCCTACTTCTTCATTGGTCACTTCTTAAATTGGTTTTCTGTAACACCCTACTCTCTTCATCCACAAAAGCTTTAGTGTTGTAAGACTTAGTATTTGGTCCTGACATCCAAATTTATACTTGTAGATCAGGCTGTGGCTCCAGATTTATTCATCTAATTGTCCAGTATTTCCACTTGAATGCTGACTAGAGATCACAATACAAACAGATCCAACTTTGAACTGCTAACACTCCTATACAAAACAGGATTCCAATCATCACCTTCCCTATATCATTTGATGTTAATTTAATCCTTCCATTAATCACAAATATGCCAAAACTCCCTTAATATACATATTTCTTTTAGACTCAAATCCTACCTCTAGGAAATTGTCTTTAACTTTCAGAATGAAGGGTAAATCAAACAATCACTTCTTACCTTTTCTTCTACAGCAACTCTGATGCGAAGAACCATCATCTCTTACCTGGATTGCTTCAGTGTGTCCTAAATGGTTCTTCCCTGATATCACCAGTCTATTATCAACACAACAGCCAAAAGAATCCCTGAAAAATAATGATCATGAAGAGTAAAAGTTAAATTCCTTCTAGGAGTCCACAATGCCTTCTACAACCTATCTTACCTTATCTTCAATCTATACCATACTGTCTTTGTGAGTGCCAATTTCTGTAATTCTGAGCACACTAACCAAGTCCCTTCTATGGGTTTTCTATCTACCATTATTCTGTCTTAAATACCTAGTCCCCTGTATCATCAATGAAGCCTATGCTAGGCACCAGTGTTAGACCACATTCTCTAGACACCTCTTAAAATGTAAATGACTCCTTTTTCCTGTTTTTTTTTTTTTAATGCACAGCAATATCACATTCTAACACATCATTTCAATTACTCAACTCCTGTATTGTTATTGCCCATCTCTGACTATTAAACTATAAGCTTCTTGGAGGCAAGAACATTTGCCTGTTTTGCTAACTAAAACATCTCAAATGACTAGAAGTGTCTGGCACATGGAAAATATTTTATCAATAGATGTTTAATAAACAATGAATAAATATTTCTTCTGCCTCATGAGATTTCAAACACACCAAGGACTATTTCTATCCACCATGATATTTATCCCAGTGACAAGAAAATGTCAACACCCACCTACAAAATCTTCTTTGAGATGATCTGTATATAGTGACCTAAATTTGCAAGTACTGCAGTGTCGTTACCATTTGCCAGTAATGATCCTATTTTTTCAAAGATAGTTTATTAAATAAAGTAGTTTTATAATGGGAAAATTTGGGCTATCAAGTGTTTTTGGCATTTCAAGTGGAAAAAGGTAATTTAGGAAGCCATTATTATATGAATGAATACAATTTGAAATTCAAAGTTATAGGTTATGAATTCAATTATTTAAGAAAGGAATTCTTTTGATGGATTAGTTTATTTCTAGTATATTATCTAACGTCAGTCTTTGGTTTTATCACACCACTTAGTCCAGGCACTATTTTGATTCAAATATATAACATTTCCCCAGAGGAAAAAAATAATAAACTTTAGGTCAGAAAAAGAAAATCATCAGCCAGAAATAAGTCTAAATGAAAATGGAATATATTGTGCAAAGTTTGTCTCATTCATCCTAGAAGATGTCTACGATGTCACTGATATCCATATTCACTCACCACCTCCCTTCACTGTCATGTTCTATCCCCAGTGAATCTCCCTCCCTCTTGAAAATCTTCTAACGCTTTGACATATTTAAATTTAAATAGCACATGTTGCATGACTTAGGTACAAGTATCTTAACCCTAGTACCCTCCCCCAAAATTTAACTACTCCGTTGCAGAAAACACAGTTTGGTATACAATTATGGTTCAGTAAGATGCCTCTCTTCTCTTATTTGTACGAGAATATGTATTCCGGTAATTTTATCTTTAACTTGTAGTCATGTAATTTCAATAAATTTTACCTAATTCCTTCAAGACTAACATTGATTATGCACTTAGCTAATTTTTAAATAACATGAATGTGGGAAGGCTAGCAAAAAATAAAAAATCCAATACACAATGAAATAAGATGACATTTAATAGAGGATGCATGTAAATGTCAAGTGCAAGATGGTAATGCATGACTTAACAGTGTGATATACGGAAACAAAATGTAAAGAATTTAGTTCCCTGCATATTAAATATGAGTGATTTACTGTAGAAATGATAAAAAGATTTTACACCATTTTAAGGATTTTACTGTAAATAGGAAGAAGAATAATAGTCCCTCTTTGTTGAACTGCTTAGATTATATTTTGGATAGTTTGTTTAGACTTAGAGGTTCTACACGTTAGGAGCTGTTGGCAAATATAGGAGGGAGAGGAGACGAGAACTTAAGTTTTTATTTAGTGAAATCATTTTTAAAATAGTGGAAGAAATGGGGCATCTTCATCTTGAAGAAGACTTGAAGGAAAACAAAAGAGCTCTAAAAATAATTAAATCTGTGTAATGTGAGGAAAAGAGTAATGTATTCCAGGTTGGCCTAGAAGATAAAATTAGATTCAATAAATGCAAGTTACAGGAAAAGAAATAGAGCTTTGTTTAAGGATTCACTAGACCCTTTATCAATTAGGATGGAAATCTGTGAGATAACCTTTACAATCCTTTCCATCCATTAACATGTTAATAAGAGTTGAGATGGTCATTTGTTTAGGAACAATTACCTAAAACATTGATGTATGACTAGGTAGCCTCTTAAGAGCATGTTAACTTGAGTGTACTTTTAATAGGAAACTATCACTTCCTATTAAAAACTCAACTTTAGCCAAAGGTTTCCTAACTTCTGAGAACACGCTCTGTATCCTTTTCCATTTGGTGTGACTTCATTTTCCTTGCAATCCTTGCCATTTTCTCTCTATGTAAGTTTTTTTTTTCCCCAGTATCCACATGCTTCTCCACCAGCCTGGGCTAATCAGAAACGTCAATTTTGTTCCCATTGACCATGTGGAGTATTTTTCTCCTTTAATTTTACTCTTCTGCTTTTCAATATGAATTGCCTGTTCTCTTACTCAAGTACCACTAGGTTTATAAAGACCACATTTTCCCTTCATATAATGGAAGCAAACCATCTCTCAAAGTTGTGTCAGTAAAGATGTTTTTACTCCAAAATTGAAAGGAAACTGCTAAGAAAAGGAAATCATCCCCTGTTAAAGAGTCATAGACCTGGAAATGTAAAGTGAATAGCAAGTTTGCTTCCTTAATAAGCAGATCTAAACAAGGTCTGGAGCCTGCTAGGCTGATTGATCTCCCAGGCCACCCTCAAAGCTCTGTATCTTTCCCCTTGTCCTGTGTCAAGAATTTGTATGCTGACTAACCAATGTTATCAATGTAAGATGGTTGTGTATAAAAGAGACCCTTTGTCCTCAGACTGGTGCTCAGACCTTACGGGACTACCCAGGTCTGGGATCTCATGCATGAGTAATAAAACTTCTCCTGATATCACCATTCCTGAAGTACTGCTTGTTTTTCCCTGCCTGGGTAAAAGTCTAGAATTTATTTCTGCAACAAAATAAACTTTCTAAGCAGCTTTGGACAAAATCCATCCCTTCCAACTTAACACTAGTGTTTCCATAATGAATGGTGGCCAGCACCGGGAGGAACTCGATGGATCGATGAGGCAGCTGTTGCTGGTTATTTCTCAATGCTCCACAATGTCTGTCTGGTCCACCCTGATGGCTACTCCATTTAACTCACAACCACTCTTTCTGAAACCATGCCAAATGCTAAAACCCCTAAATGTATTTATTGAATGTGGCAAAAACAATAAACATGAAATAAACATTTTACAAAAACCTGAAAGTGGCCCAATTGTGTTTCTATGCCTTAGGTTTCTTGGTTAGGTCTGGCTTTTTAATCACCAGAAATTTTCTGTAATTCACATATAAAAAAATACCATATGCAAATATGTGGATAAATGAAGCTTTTCTATCATTAAATACTTCTTGACAGTAAATAAAAAACTTTTAATGAATTTCTGCTATATGTAGGTTATTACAAAGGTTTCTTTGACCATCAACGATTCAAACCTTCTCTTTCAACTTTTCTGCATCAGTCCTACCAGCTCTCAGACCCTTGCAAATCCTCTTGCTCCTGTTTCCTGCCTGCTGGGACCTTCTGGGCTCTGAGAAATGTGCTGCTCTCATCATACCACTGGCTTCCATCTCTTCACCATATTTTTACACCAATTAATTTCTAACTTTTCCTCTGCTCTCAGTGAATATTAGTCCCACAGCATTATTGATTTCTTGTTAATTTTGCATCGCTGTCACTCACATAAGCTGTTTCTTCTCTTCCTATCAATCCCACTCACTCAAACATAACTTTGTTCAGGAAAATAAGGGTGTATTCATAGAAGACTTCCTTCAGCTGTTCTTCATTCCTCAGCAAGGCACACTGACATCTCCATCCTTCTATCCTCATTAGCCCTCCATCTTGCAAGAAAAACAGTTTCACTTTCGCTTTTAGTTCTTCAGACTGCAAGGCTTTATCCTGTGCAGTGTTCTATGAGTCTATTCTATGCTAAGCCCCTAAATTCCATCACTGAATTTAAGACAAATCAAATCTTAATATCTGAATATGCCTTCTCTTGGTACCACTCATAGTCTCCAAATGCCATTCCCCAGCCGGGTAACAGGGTAGGAAATTGTGTATATTTTTAAATATTTTTAATTTATTTTATTTTTTGCATAGAAGAACTGGGGTGTAGGTGAGGATCCACCAGAAACAGAGTGGAGAGCAGAACAGGTGGATCCACTGAAATACACCGCTGAGAGGAGCAGCAGGTGAGACAGGAGAGGTCTGTTGCATCATATGTGGGGTCACCTTCCTGGCTGGGGATTGAACTCAGCCATAGTGGTGATAGCTGAGACTAAGTCTTAGGCCAACAGGAGACCCAAAGTGTGTATTTTTTTTTTACTCTTCTTTTATTGTGCTAGTATAAAGAGCACAGTTGTTAAACTGCCTGCTTCTGTTCCACCTCTAATGTATTCTTTCTGTTCCTAATTAATTCATCAGAAAGTCCTTTTCTCACCTGCAATAATAGCAAGTCTGAGGGTTAACTTGAGTAATACATGTAGGAATCTGGAAAATATTTGGAATTTACTAGGGCTGAGTGTGTTAGCCATTGCTGACTTTATTAGTGCTTTTTTGAAAAAGTGGGCTTTCTTAAATCTAACAGAAGATGCTATGTATAATTGTAAATAGTAAATGTTTTTAAAAATCTAAGGAAAACAATGATAAGGGAAAAATAATCAACGATCAGAAGAATGCAATTGAGTCCCTAGAGAGGGAAAACAATGGTCAGAAGAAAGAAATTGAGTCCCTAAAGAGGGAAGTAAAAGAAATGCAGGAGATCAAAGAATTAGTGGAAGAACTAAAGAATTCTGGGAAAAGCAATGAAAGCAGAATAGATGAAATGGAAGAACGAATAAGTAATCTTGAAGACACAGAAATAAAAAGAACCAAAACAGAGAAGGAAAGAGAAGTACGAAGGAAAAAGA